GGGGGGGGGGGGGGGGGGGGGGGGGGGGGGGAGTGGGTCCAAATTTCTACCCCTAAACACTTCAACACTCCTTTCAGATCGTGTTTCACAAAAAATATTGTCGTTCAGTTTGCTTAAAACATTTTTCTCTAACTAAATTTAGAAACTGTAAATATACAAACTTCGTCACCAGTAGTTTAAGAAATATAATAGTCTATTATCAATATTTGTTACAGATATCGAATGATACTATTATTACTATTAACATCATCCTCTGCTGGTATCATCAGATAAAACGACAAGATATATCTTTGTATTATCTGTCTAAAGCGATCTTACAAATCTTCATTGAACACGCGCTGATATCTCAAATGTAATAGTCGTAGGAATAGAAATTCCTACAGGAGCAACTGCCGATTAAAGGCAGATGCTATGGGAGCATCATCTGAAAGAGTAAAAATCACAATTTCCTAACTGTTTGATTCCATCTTGAATCGATACAGCTAATAGAATCAGTTATCAAAATCAATAAGAACTAAAATGTAAAGTTTCATAACTCTATCCAAAGTACGATGAATGTGCTTATCAATGATAAGTAAAAAAAAAGTAAATACTTCAGATAGAGTATTTTGAAAATAACAGTTCGTAGATGAACCGCTTTCATACAAATAAATTACAATCCAATATGCCTACAAGTGAGAAACTGTTGCTATACACTATACACAGAACAAAGAGAATTCTACATACTGAAAACTGTAGAATTTTCGACCGTTACATAGGCAAGAGAGAAGATTCTCCTTCATAAAATGTATGTATCAATAGAAGTATCGATGGACATGCCGGATGCCACAATATTATTGATTTTCAATGATAATTGTAAGACTAGGGAGGGCTATGAAAAAACTTCTGAAAATCTTGAAATCAACTAGACCACTGCAACAAAAATAATGAACGAGAAGAACTAAGACTTTCCTACTTCCTATAATTCAAGTCAGATACTAGAAGAAGTTTTTGCCACATCCTTGAAAAAAAGTAACTCAATTTTGATATTTTATGCAAAAAATGTAATCATTAGAATGGGAACCACATTATTTTCTTTTAGGGTATCAACCATTATCTGTCAAAATTAAAATTACTAGTTTTACTGTCTAAAGTTATTCGAAAAGTTCAATTATCCGATATATCATTATAGAGACCTTACCGGACGTTGTTGTTGACGTTGCCGATGTTGTTGTCGCTGTTGTTGTCGTTGTTGTTGATGTTGTTGACGTTGTCGATGTTGTTGTCGCTGTTGTTGTCGTTGTTTTTGATGTTGTTGACGTTGTCGATGTTGTTGTCGCTGTTGTTGTCGTTGTTTTTGATGTTGTTGACGTTGTCGATGTTGTTGTCGTTGTTGTTGATGTTATTGACGTTGTCGATGTTGTTGTCGATGTTGTTGTTGATGTTGTTGTCGCTGTTGTTGACGTTGTTGTAGTCACTATGTAAAAATATGCAATTTTATTTAAAAAAGTGTCGATTTACGTAAAAAAAATTGATATTATATTTTTATTTCTGTTCCATTTAGGAAAAAAAAATTTTTCTATGTTCAAATCTAAGGTAAATTATCACAATTCTGTTACAGAAGCATCACTTTCGAAGTTAAAAACCAAATTTAATCAAGTATTACTTGTTGTAGCGCTAGTTGTATCTGTTTTTGTATTAAGCAATGCATAAATGGCAACTGCCAAAGCAAGTAAGATGAACATAGCAATCAATACTCCAGTAAGCATATTCCATAGTTTTGTCGATATTCTACAATGAAAAACATTTTCCCTTGATTAAAATGAGTTGTATATATAGCAAAATCCTATTAAATCAATAACAAATGGTTGAATATCTTGTTTCTTATTCTTTATAAACTATTCTTGCTATAAAAACTGAATACTCATATATTATAATATAAAGTCAAATGATATTCGAGAGTTCTACTTGCTTCAAACTTTCTTTTGGTAATAATTGAGAATCATTATTAGCCATCGACAACATTGCATGCAACGGTTGCTTTTCTTGAATTAAATCACTTGGCAATGATATACTGGTAGATGACTGTGTCTTAGGCTCATTAGAATTCTTTTTCTCTGATATTGAATGGACAGTTGGATTAAGTTGTATATCATCAATAGGTTTGACCTAAAGGAAAATATTTTGATGTGTTATATGTTCTTGTTGAACATTGAACTGTTTCGTCAATAGTCATACCTTTATTGTTCTTCTGGGTATGGTTAAAACAGATACATGACCAAATTTGAACTGTTTCATTGCAAGCCGATTGAAAACAAAGTATTCTAATAAAGCAGGAACGGGATGCTGTTGAATTTCTTTATATAATGAATATCAGAAGAAATATAATTCTCTTATGTATGTATGTATGTTACTGAACCCTTCAACGTGTCGATAAATAAACTTTTTTCTCCCTCCTTTATATAATAAAAAACCTTAATATTATGCAAACATTAGAGACTTTTTACGTGATACCCTATATATGCCCTTCTGATTTAATAACTTCTTTTTCTTATAATGCACAAATAAAGACAGAACGAAAATTGAATTAATGAAGAAAAAAATTTATTTCCTCTTTCATTTCAACAATGCAATGTTATCATGATTAATCTCTCATCCCAAACAAAAATAGATTTTCCGAAGAATGTACATATATACAGGAGTGCAGATATTGATTTTGTATTAAGGTCAAAGAAACGATATTGCTCCAAGACAAGCTGAAAGTAGATGTATAAGGAAAATAGATAAAATTCTAATGAAATTACTAATTTAAGTAATGAATACAATTCCTAACTAGGTGTAGGTGGTGTGTGGATCTGGGTGGGTGCATGTGGTTGTTGTCGATATAGATATTATCTGCAATCAAGTCTACAACCACGCCAAAACCTATATTCTCATCCATAGCCACTTCTACACCCATCGTACATTCGCTATTTTACTTAAGAGTAGATTAGAACTGACTTCTCTGAGTTTCATAGGAAACTTTCTTTAAAGCATTTTTTTATAGAAATTGACACCCTAAGCCACCTCATGAGGCTTTCATGTACAATCAAAAGCTGTTCTGTTAGCATCTATATGCCTTGTCAATTGGAGATTTATCTGATACAGTTTGTAAAACTACCATTCAACTCTAATGTAGACTAGCATAATTTTTCTTGAGTCAATTCGTTTTCGAACTTTTCGTTTAAAATTTCTAATTCACTTGGAGATGTTAAGCCACATGTTGAAACTGTCTGCGTAGCAGTCAATACGTATCTTGGTAATGAGAAAACTGAAAAGTATTTATTCACTAGTTGCAACTCTGTGCAATATAAAAGACAAACAAATACGATGAAAAACAAAGAGCCACTATCGTGAAAGAATGAAAAAAAATAGAAACTTGAGTAGCGAATTGTACATAGCCGTGTTTGTCATGAAGTTGAAACAGAAAGAAAGAAACTGCTTTCATTCGTCGAAGGCAGGGCAAACTATGTGTGCCCCACTTTCCTCGAATTATGAGATAAAAAGGCAAACAAAAAGTATGAAAACATAAACCGGGTCGCTGCTGTGAAGGAATGAAAAAAAAAAAACATGGATAGCGAATTATTCATGATTATGTTTTGCATGAATCTGTCATGAACAGAAGCAAGTAATATGATTCCACGAAAGAAATATTAATTATTTGTCTGTCGCTTGTCAACGGCTTCAACAATACATACTGTGGGATACAATAGAAGCAAATGCTTCCTATACTGCAAACAAAAGAAAAAGAAATATGAAGAGTGAGTTATTTATGGCATTTTTTATGAGCCTCTAAGGAACAGAAGCAACTATTATGATTCAGCGAAAGAAGCATAAATTATTCGCCTGCCGCATGTTTGGGGTTTCGGCAACATATATCATGGAATAGAACAGAAGCAGAGGGTTCCATTACGGCCAAAAAAGAAAAAAAAAA